ATTTTATGGGCCTCGAGTCGCTTCATCGCGACTCGAGGCCCATAAAATGCCGGTGCAGGCCGACGCAGCCCCCCTCCCCCCTCCCCGTGAGCGTCTGGGTTCGAGATTATTGTTCGCTTTTCCTCCTTGCGGTCGAGGCTAAAAAGAGCACTTCCGAACACTGGTCTAGAACCGCCATTGCTGTGGTCGTTGTGACGTCAGCGCCACGTGCGTGACGTCACACAGCTTCCACACTTTTACCTCCGGCTCCAGGCATTGGAACTCCCACAGAGGGAGCTACCTCCACTCTCTCCTTCAGGCCCGCCACTTGTCCTTCGAAGTGCCATCTAGCCTCCAGAGGGTGCTTCGAACGACGGGTGGCGGGCGGCGGGTGGCGAGTCAAGTTGCTTTCGAGCTTCGTCCTCTCTTTTGTACGCTTCCGTCATAGAGCGGAGCTCGCCCCTCACAATGCCCGGTATTGAGCCTGTTCATGGTGGCTTGGGCTAAGTGGTCGGTGTGAGGGCGTCCGGTTTTCGTCCATGACGAGCGGAGGGCGAGCGACCACGTGCTCCGTGCCTCCTACGAGTGCTATTTCTGGAGACGTTTTAATTCTTCCTGCTAGACCTGCGACTGAGCTGACGTGATGGGTGCTGGGAGCGGTTGCGGCTCCTAACCCTACTAAACACCGCTTCACCTTCAGTCCGAGCGCGGTGGACGCCACGAGCCATCCCAGCCTATCCAGCGCCGGGAGAAAATCGCGTGACCTGCCGGTAGGACAGAGCGACACAGGGAGCTTAAGGTGACATTACACTCTCTCAACGATGGATTGTCTGGGATGGCTCCTAGCTTCCGCTGCGCTCGGACTGAAGATGAAACGGAGTATAGTGGATGGAGTGAAGCTGTTCTGGTCGTCATTCATATCATAGTCCCCGAAATGAATAAAAGTGGCAAGAAGGGGTGGGAATACTTCTATAGAAACTTTGTGAGTTGTCGCTCGTATCTCTCTAGGGACCTGCGTTGCGATCTGGGCGCTATTCGTCTTTATTGTGCGCTTTCACTACTTTCAACATGCATAAAAAACTCGCCAGCATCGCCACATAAGCTAAGGAGGCTCTGTCCCCAGATAAATTCCACCGAAGACCGGCACGACGAATGCGGCGTTAGGCAAGTCTATCAATATATCAACTGCTGCATAGGTGTCGTCTACGAGATTCCGATGTCTTGTGGGACGTTATATGTGGGCCAGTCAGGACGTGCATCAACATTAGGCTAAAAAAAGAAATTTCCTCTCTCTTAAATTTGCACCATCCGGACATCTAGCAGAACACGTGAGGGACTCTGGGTGCCACCCGTTGCTTCCTCGAACAATGATTCTGCGACAAAGTCTGGACAAAAGAACACGAGGAATAGATGGAGCCCAGGTCACAGAAACCAGAGGGGATGCGTGTATTAGCGCTCCGTCGGTAAACTTGTGAACGATGAAACTTCAGTACCTGCGCTATTCTTCATAAGCTTCTTTATTTCTCCAAAAATCTTCTTTTTCGAATTTTTTTACTTTTTTTAGAATGTTTCTAATATTGTTTTCTTGCTTTCCTTCTCTTGCATACTCTTTCTTCTCTTTCTATAATGTTAGTCTATTTTTATCTTTCTCTTCCTCTATCCTCTCAAAAAACGTCAGTTGTAAGTAGCGCTCTGTAGTATCTACTCTTTCCGTTTTCATCCTTTGCGCTAATTTTGTGTAAGTTCTGACCAGTCTCAGGTCATTTTTGCCAAACCGCCGGGCGTGAGCAATGGTTTGGGTCTGCTGCGCCTGGAGGAGCGTTTTGGGCCGTTCACCTGGGCAGATTCTGCGCGCCACTCCTCGGCTGCCACTAGTGTTCAAACATTTGGGGCGAAGATTTCTACTATGCTGTCCGGTGCTGTGGGCAGTGCACGGACAGAAGTTTGCTGGCTTGAGTTGCGTTTCGTACTGTAATTAATATGGCTTTTTGCGCCTTCAACCTACGAAAGAAAGGAAAGTGTGCTGAGTAGAAAGCCCGTTGAACTGAGAGAGCTGGTATGCTAGTGAAATCGCAGCAGCTTCGAGATCGAAAGACGATTACACACTTGGGGCGGTCATCATGGTTGTTGAATATCTGGATGTTAGTTTTCGATGTTAGTTTTCGATGCAAACAGTGTCCTTGTGCCAGGACGTCGGCCCAGTTGTGCAGTGCGTTTGTGATTGCAGGGCGCTTTCTCTCCATGCGTGTCGTCCCCGTTCATGATCGGGTAACCGCCGTGCGCCGACACAGCTGTAGGTTCTGTATGGTCGTGGTTTGCGGTTGTGACGCACTGATCGTTGGCAGCGTTGTCCATTTCTATGGGGACTTAGTCGTCGGAAAATTCCAGGTAGCTCGTAGGGTTCTGCATTCACTGGGGTGTCTTTCCCGCCAACGGGTGGGGTCCTTTCTTGCGTGTGGTTTGTACGATTGTTTTCACCGAGCTAAAGCTCTCATCACCAGATGGTGACGCTCAGCGGAGCAGGCGGCTTGCGGCGAGGGTGAACTGATAGGCTTGGGTAAGTGGTGATTTGTCGGGGAGGTCGGTGCAAGCCGGAGGTGTACATGGACCTGCCGAGCACGCTTGCGCTGGGCCTGCTGTAGGCATAGCTCCGCACGTAGCTACGATTGGCGAACGAGCAAAAAAAATTGTGACAAAAGCTCACTCAGTATCGGAGGTTTCGCGATACTTGCCTTTGTTATAGGGCGATCGGTGAGAAAAAATCCACGTCACCTCCCAAAACTGTGATTCCGGGCCATCGAAAAGTGGAGCACGGTACGGCACGGACGCACTGCTCAGCAGCGGGCGTTATCTCCGTGATATTTTGCTTTAGATGATTTTTATTTATTCATTTGATTTATTCATCAACACTCTAGGTCATTGAGGCAAGCGTTCGTTACAAAACACAGCACAACAGTGGTATAACACACCCAACAATCCGCCTTTACTAGGCTCTGAAGTCATAGGTATTATGCTATTATGCCCACCTCTATTATTATGTCCCACCTCAACTATTATGTCCAGCTATTATGTCCGACCTCGACGGCAATGACTTCCTTTTTTTTCAAATCAACACGGCTTTAGACAAAATCACTCATGCAATACTCAACTATAACATCTTCATCGACTTTGCAAAATCATTTGATTCAGTTCCCCATTGTCGCCTACTTTTAAAATTGTCCCATCTTCAAATAGACCCATCTATCGTGGAATGGATTGCAGCGTTTTTGCGTGGTAGAACCCAATCAGTAAAGTTAAACGATACCCTTTCCTAAAAACTTCCCGTGACATCAGGCGCTCCTCAGGGTAGCGTAATTGGTCCCCTCTTGTTTTTAATTTATATCGATGATCTTCCATCTACCTTATCATGAACAATCAGGTTGTTTGCAGACGATTGTGTTTTATATCGAAAAATAAGTAGTCCAAATGACAGCTGTGCTCTGCAAATTGACCTTGATAAAATTAGTAATTGGTGCTTAAAATGGCAGATTAACATTAACATAAAAAAATGCCGGCTAATGAGAGTTACCAATAAAACTAATGTGATATTGACCCAGTAAAGCCTTCTTTCTCTCGAACTAGAAGTTGCCACGTCGTATAAATATCTGGGTGTTCATTTCACATCCAGCTTAACTTGAACGAGCACATTAATCACATCTTATTAAGCGCATCTAGAAAACTCGGTTTTCTGAGGAGTACGCTGTACCAGGCACCCCAAGAGACACGCCTGCTTGCCAATAAAACTATAATTTTACCGAAACTAGAATATGCAAATATAATCTGGAGCCCGCACCAAAATTATCTTGTTAAAAATCTTGAGGCCTTGCAAAGTAAAGCCGCCCGTTTTATTTCTGGAAATTACTCTTATCAAACCAGTGCCACGAGTTTAAAACAAAATCTGGGTCTGTCATGTTCGGAGATAAGAAGGAAAATTTTACGCCTGTGATTTTTTCATCAAATTTATTACAGTGACTCTACTGTCAGACAAACTTTCTGTAGGTCTCCAACCCATATATCGGTCCGATGTGATAACACCCAGAAAGTGTAACCTTTTGCATCACGCACTAGTCTATTCCTCTCATCTCCGCTAGTTTTGTGTATTTCAAATTGGAACGCACTCCCAGACTCTGTGGCAGCTGAACGTGACGAGTTGTTGTTTAAAAACAAATTTAGCGAATTATTGTTGAATTAGGTTTCCAAAATGATAATCTGTTTTCGGTTTGAATGTTCTTGGCATTCTGCACATTACTTGAGCCGATCAAGGGTCACTCTGATGTTGTTCTTTCTTTTTTTATTGCTTCTGAACACCAAGTTTTGTATGTATTATGCTTTTGCATTTTTTTCTTCCCCAGAATCCTCGGGTTTGATAGTTTTTGAACCCAAAGTTTTATATGTATTGTGCTCTGTATGATTTTTAGCCAAATCCTCGCTTATGCAATACGTCCGAAAGGATGTCTTTGAGCAACAATAAATGAAATGAAATGAGATGAAATAGGTATTTCCCTTCCGTCCTCCCCTTCGAGTCTGCCGCGCGCACTCCTCCAGCCAATTTCTTGGTTTCCCGCACTCGCTTGCCATCATGGAACACTTCATGTTCGGCGCTCTTCTAAGGATGCCGTTCAAAGACCAGTTTCTGTAGAAAAGGGCTTTGTGGCGGCGCCATACTTGTCTGTTGTCTCTATCTTTCTGTTTGGCGCATCTAAATCTTTTCCTAGTGACGCGAGTATTTTAGCTTAATAAAATATAATTAAGCTCAAATTTGTAAACGATCAGTACGTACATATTACTCGCCAGACTGAATCATTACAGGGGCCACACACGTACAATACAAGTGCTCTAAAAGGCCACAAGAAGTGTACTTTTAGTACTGAATATCGTAATACATGCGCTACTTATTTGTTAAGAAAAATATATCAAGAGTATTCTTTAAGCTTATTGTTTTTATCAAGTGCGCGGCCCCACAAAAGCGGCAGTTGACTCACGTGTACAGCCTCTGGAGCCGCTCCCTGACGGGCCTGGGCATGGCGCTGTCCAGGTCCTCGAACTTTGTGACCCTGAGGCCGAAGCAGCCCTTGAGGTAGTCGGTGTATCCCCGAATGCCGTGGTCCCTGCCTCGCTGAATGTTCAGCGAGATAAGGTCCAGCCCGAACGACTCATTCGTGAGCCGGTACAGGTGGTTGGTCACGTCGTTGGTGATGAAGTTGTCGAAGGTCTGCGAGGTCTGCTTGGCCAGACCGCGCACGATACGCTCCATCATACCGTCACGGAACTCGAACGGCTTGAAAAAGTTGTCTTGCAGCTTGACGCGGGAGATGCGCCCCCGGGAGTCGATCTGCATGAAGTCCCCGTTGAGGATGGTGTGGCCGAAGCGATAGGCCGCTCCCGCGAACTCGTTCAGGATAGACGGGTCGATCTGTTTGTTGTACGTCGTGTAGCCGTACGGCAGGACCTCCAAACCGAACTCCCGATGGAAGGACTTGCCTACAACCAGGGGCAGGAACTCGTCGTACGTGATCATCTGCATCTGGCCGATTACGATGCGCCTGCGCAAGGGACGTCAAGAGGTCAAGCACGGTTTCACTAACGTCGTTACAATGTACCTAGATCCGTTATTTAAACAACATGCAGAATAGCAGGACTCCATTTCATGACGATCTTGTTGTCGCCGCGTTTGTGTACCCTGCGGCAGGAATTACCAATCTTTGCTGTTCGTAAGTTACACTACATGAGCTTTAGAAGCTCAGGTGGCAGGATTTTGCCTTATAACGAATTGCTTTAAGATTTCCGAAGGAGGGTCATTATTTGTCACTGATTATAAATAAAAATTCAGGTAATTCGAAAGAGTACTTTACGCAAACAAATGGCTGATGAAGGGCATCTGCTTTTAAAGCAGGTGCCTCTAAACCCCGTCCCGCGGACCAGATCCGACTCGGCGTTGGTCTTCTGACCGGCCCGCACATATCTTTTTCAATACTATTACCAATACAGCACCGAGAAATAAAAAAAACAACTAAAAAAGACTCTACATTCTTCCACCTCAGGTCTGAGCGAAGCCAAAACTACAGAGCGAGCCCCAATGCGCTGTGGGTTCTTGTACCACTGTTCTTTTGGCTCTGCTCGCACCTGAGGTGAAACAATGGGTGGTTATATATTTTTCCACTTTTAATTCATTTTTATATGTTTTTAATGCACTTTCTGTTAGAAGATATTTCGAGTGGCACATGAGAGTGAGGATGACCGACATGTGGCATTCTTCTGTTTCCTTTCCTGGCCTTCCCTACTGAAAAAACCTGTACAAATGTATACCGGCCTATACCGGTTCACACCGGAGTCCTGTATTCTCATATCGGTAACCGGTAGCTCTGTACCGGAGACCTGTAACCACGTACTGGCGAAGCCGATACGCCGTACCGGCTGCCCATACCATGTACAGGCGGCCGGTAAACACGTACGGGAACGGCCGGTAGGCCACACCGGTAACCGGTAACCACGTACCGGCGAAGCCGATACGCCGTATCGGTTGCCCATATCATGTACAGGCGGCGAGTGAACACGTACAGGCGAAGCCGGTACGCCACACTGGTGGGCCGTAATAACGTACCGGTGGCCAGTAATCGATGCGCGGCTAACAGCAACCACGTATCGGAGCGACCGGTAACGGCGGTCGGTAACCTTGTACAGGCTCTACCGGTATACACAATAGACCGATCTCACTAAGCGTTGGGCGCATGCGTAAAGCCGCCATAACTTTAGTTCACAGGAGGCAGACGGCCGTGCACGCAAGGGCTCGTGCCTTCTCGTGCTCTGCACGCGAAGAGCTCCAGCGAGGTTGTCGCACGTGCCCAAAGACTAAAGTTCCCTCGCTGGATTGCGGCAGCGGTGGCGTAGTCAAACTGGCCGGTGAGATCGGTCTATTTAACGCGACCAGAAATTATCAGACCTCGACGGGAACGCGCTCACCGCGAAACTAAACTGTGATATTTTTTTCAATAAAGAATTTTAATCAGAAAATTACATATTAGGTCATTTCAGTTTAACAGTTTCAGCTATCAAACTCAACCATTTTATGACATGCATATTTAAAGTCATAAAATGAGAAAACCAAATCCATGGGAAGCGAGGCCGAGATAAACGAGAGTTTTCTTCATAGCTTTGAGCCCTGTACCGCGGTAGTTTCGGTTTCGGTTCATTGACGTCGGATTGGATTGGATTTTGTAGCTGCAAGCCAGAGTGCAGAAAAACAACCAACGACGGACAAACAATGTTTTTCTTAACAATAAATAAACTTAACATGGTAAGTTTCTATGCTTTTAAATGTTCTAAAACTATTTTGAGTAATAATAGCATTAATATAAACTAAGGCTGAATATTTAGTTAATCCAATCCAATACTTACATACCAGCGCCGCAGGCCAGCCGGCCAGTGCCAGCCAGTGCTGGGAACCAAAGCCGGATTGACGTTAGGGCTATCTCGATCGGTGTGTATCGGTGTCGATATGTACTAAGCGTACGTGATTTATATTGATGGCGCGAAGGCAATAGTCAGTGTGGTGAACCGTATCAAGAAGTTCAAACCGGCGAGCGTTGGCGACTTCGACCCCGACGTGCCGAAAAGCGTCTACTGGGAGGCTGTTGGAGCGTGCGCCGGGGAATGGTAAGTTGTTGTCTACGCATCAGGGGCTCGAAGCACAACGTATACTGCGAACCGTTAATAGGGAGTTTTCGTAGATCGTTTTGGCTGTCCCGCAACGCCCTCCGGAACTCGCTATATACCCGGAACTCTACAGTCAAGACTATCGGCGGGCAAGCGCATCTTCGTTGCGGAGGGGGAAACGCGGTCTACGAACACTCCCTAATGTTCGCCAGCCCCCGATTTTTTGAAAATTCCACGCGTCCAAAAATTAGCGAAATTTAAAGGGACCATGAAATGATTTTAAAATCTAATTTCATCCACCGCACGTCGTAAAAGGTGTGAAAAGAAACACAAAAACACAAAACTAGGGAGCCAAAAAAAATTATTTGCTATAGAACTTTTAAAAGAAAACTGGACTCTTTTGCGACTTCTTTCCTTCGAAAGCTCTGCCTTTTCACTACGATGCATCCGCAGAAATGGAGCACGTCAGCCGAATCCACGTCGCCTATTGGGTAAGAGCCTACCTCACCAGCACCGCGATCGTAAACAATAAATAGCCGGCGAATGTTTCCTAAAAGTTTTGTTAAATAATATTCAGACCCACATTTTGTAGCATAATTAGAGATGTGTGGCGAAAATTGCCAAATTTGATAATGCTGAGAGCCAAGCGCCATCTATCGTGTGGTAAACAAAGCAACTACTGCGCGTGCGCAGTAGGGCAGGCCTGGCAGGGCCGACTCCAGAACGGTTATTTCCTTTGGTTTCCTGCCTCTCAAAACTCTGACTGACTGAACGTTTATTTTTCTGCGTGTTCATCTCGCGCGTGCCGACTTCAAGCAGCAAGAAAAAAATGTACTTAAAACAGACCACGACGAGCAAGAACGCTGGATCCACAAACACCCGAGAAGAGCGACAACAGCCGCGAATCGCGCTCCGACGAAGCTCTCAGAATATAGGCCTAGCAGGCACTCCGACTCGGCGCAGCGTTGCTTCGTCGCAAGACCGTCTGCCTGCCTGCGACCGGCTGGCGTGCTGAATGGAATATGCCCGCGCTACCCTTGTGGGGTACCCTTGTGGACCCTTCCCGTATAATAGTTTGATCGCTGACCTCAATTTTACGTTAAGAGGTGAGGTCAATCTCTTCCCCTTGTTTTCCGAGGCAGTGTTGACGAACACTCGTCGAAAAGGGACCCTCGTCGATTCTCTCTTCTTGTTTTGTGTGATATAGAGCTGAAATAAACGCTGTATGGATTACCTTCGTAACACGGTATGTACACTTTGTTATTGGTATGCCATTTTTATCCTGACAGACTGCACGTCACTGTCGAGCTGTAACAGTTCGTGAGAGGTATACGTGCAATACCGGTCCAACCTCTCTTTGCCGAGTGTCGCGTCAGTATCGAGTTGCAATCGTAAAAGATCGGTCCCGAAGCGCTTACCAACAGCGCGAATACAGCACTTCCATCAAACTCGCGCGTCCGCTCCGAGTGTTAACAGGTATTTACGTGGCTCTTGCTGACAGTCGTAGTTCAAACGTATCTTTTTTAACGTCGGCTCGCTCCGGCATCTCCGAGACCGCGAAAAACCCCGCGGCAATTTGTTTCCATCTACGTCGCTTTGCAAACGACTGACACTGGCCGCCTTTTGCCAACAATGACAGTTGGGTTGACTTCTGGAGTCTTCACCGGAAGACTCGCTGCACTTCCCAACAGGCATTCCGGTGTATGGGACTAGTCCCATGCTGTCGCTGTAGCGCAACATATCTCGTTGAATTTCGCTCAGCTGCGATGCGGCGATGAGAGGCGCCGATTCAGGAAATACATCGGTGACATCGGCGCAGTAAAACCTACCGGCGCCCCCCAACTCGTCGCCGCTAATGCTCCCATCTCCTACTGCCGAGAGAAGTTCCGGTTCCGGAAATAGCGTACGTCACGGCTTGTTTTGCGGTCAAGAAAAAGTCGATATTTCATTAATTTTTTGTGTAGAAGTTAATAAACCGAGACGAAAACGGATGCCTGTTCGGCATTCAGTGAACATTGACGGTTTAATGTAAAAGTTATCTGGAAAAAGTAAAAAGGTCATTTCATGGTCCCTTTAAGGACACGTGGAAAGCGGAAATTTCGTGGGCCCCCGTTCCGGCGTTAAAATTCGCGAAATATGGTGGGCACGAATATGTCCTTGCGCCCGATTCGGTCCTTGCGCCCGATTTGTGAAGAACTGAGCGGCAAGAGCAAAGGGTTTTACGTTGTTTAACTACAGGGCGCTCCAGACGGTAGCCACGACACTCAAAATAAATCGCAACAAATCGGCTTTGTAAGCTTGACAAATTTACCACATAAGTTCGACTAGGTGGTGCATTTAATGTGTAAAAATATCGAAAAAAAATAATTTTTGAAGCAAGGGTTATAGCGCAGGCTGGCTGGTGAATGGTCATATTTATAAACCCCGATACAAGAAGGGAAAGTGAGACGAACACGACGACTTTGAGATGCAATTCAGTGTGCATGTTTTGTTTTACAGAGACACGAGCTGAGCTGGTTGCTGCTTTGAAAAAGAAGCACGTGGCCATCCCTATGGTATTGAACTCAAGGTTCGAGGTTTATGTGTGCCTTTAGGCTGTTTTTCTTACCTCATCTTCGACTCTGTTCAGAAAGAGGGGGTTCGTCTTTTGTTTCCCTTTTTCAAATCAGCAGCATACTTCACTCCCGTTACCAGTGGGCAGTAATTGTGGGTAAGATTGAACGGTTAGGCTAAAGTATATCTTGCATTTTGTTTGCTTTATGAGTAATTGTGTCCATTCATTATGGCTGGTCAGGACTATTTGTACAGACACTTTTTAAATTGCTTGCTATTCTGGTACACAGATCCGGTGGGTAGAACGCTCTATGAAAGTGGACCACAAGCCGCACTT